CCTTCACACTCCTGTCGCAGAGGACAGTACGACTTTACCCCCAGACCGCCTCGTATCACGATTACTCGTAGTGCGGAGTCTCGCTGCTCTTGGTCTGGCTGCTCCCCTTTGGCCTTCCTGGCATGGTTGTACCTTGTGGAGCGAAGTTCCAGCCAGTGTGGCCCGCGGGATCATTGCAGCACTCAAGCCTGACCACCACGTCAAGGTGGCAGCTTTAGGTGGGGATGCTAAACGGTTGAAAGTCATCAGACTATTCTTCCAGATCAGAGAGCTCCCCTTGGCTGAACTTGGCACGATTAACACAGGACAATTCGTGAGAAAATGCCAAAAGTTCAATATTCGCTGAGGATAAGGAAGCTTGAACAAAGGAAAGAGGACGATATTTACCGAGTTCTAAGTCGCTCGCATTGTCACATAATGGTAGACTTTCGAAACCATCTCGTTAATGGTTCAAACCTGGGTTAAACTAGGTGACGCAAACAACGGTATTTCGCCATGTTCCATACGATAATGGCCGAAAAACACTATGAGAACTCACGGAGATGTGTTAGCATAGTTTACTCACGGATGTTGTCCCCAAAAGCTTCTACTCCTCGGACAGAGCAAAATATATCAGCAAATGTAAAATATTTCAAACAATCAATCTGGGGAGAAGGATGATATTTTTCTAGCTGGTTCCCCCATCCACGAGGAATATCATCCATTGAGGAAGCTTGATATCTGACAGCAGACTCCATGTGAAATCATGCAGCAATACAATTGACACCAAGTTGTCAACTTCGTACTTCCGAACTATGTCAATATCGGGCTTAAAGTTTTACCACCGAGAAACAACCGTATCAAATGGAGTTCACTACGTTTTCAGCAGCACACACACACCTACAACAGACACACGAAAGAAGACATTTGTCACAAACCTGTGATCGGAGCTTGGGTAGACTCGTCCAACGGCTCGATTGGGGAAGAAGAGTTCATCGGGACCGCATCCACACTAGAAAAAACGGAGAACGGTGTGCCGTTTGGATTGTTCTGGAAAGTCACTGGCACTAGCTTATCAGTGGATGTAAAGGTCTCCGACTTCTCCACACCATTTGTGTTGGTGGCGGTCCAAACTGATTGCATTTTGTTGGATCCCGACGATTGAAGAAAGAGCAGCTTATCGCCACCAGCTTTCGAAATAAGCAAATTTAAACACAGCCAGGCAGTTCTGCAAAGCGATAAAAAAAGGAATAATACTACAGGATACGAACAAATTTTGCATTGTGAGCTGTCTCCCACCGAGTTAATAACAAAATACTTGGAACGTCAGGTTATATGGTTCTTTGGCATAGCTGGTTAGGTTTCCGAACATATTTCGGTTTAGGGTACAGTTACGGCCACATTGAGAGAGAGAAAATACAGTGAAACAGTAGACATCAAAAGGACCCAAAAAACTTACATCCGCAGTCCCATAGAATCAGCCGAAGTAGAGAAGTGTTTGAACAACTCCATTAACTCAGTTTGTTTTGCTAACCAAGCCTGACCACATGCAGTCGAGCCCACGTGCGCCAATGCCCACAAAGCTGCCTTTGTCTCTAGCACGGAGGGAATGCGTGGCCGATCGTCCTTCGGTGAACTCTGTACATGGGACGTTGACGTTCCATTACACAGCGGACCACTGGCCAATTTAAGGGTCATCAAAGCTGCCTGATAAACAACAAAAGGAAATGGAAAGTTACATTTAACTGTGGTGTTAAAGGCCTATTCACAACTACCTTATAATGCGTATATTGCTAGAATGTATGGAAAGTATCGGTCGCGATATTTCTGACCTATGGACAGTAATTTGCGGGAAATTGCAACGACCGGTGATTGTTTATGGTGGGCTGGCGTCGGTCCCGTCACACCGAAAGAAGTGCACAGACAACCGCGCACATTGCGTATTAAGACATACAGCTTGCGCTAAATCGCAAGTGTATCAACTTGAACACGCTGCATTAGATGTGAGTCAGAGGAAATCAAACCAGAGGGTGAACAGGAGGGGACAGTTATTAAGTCATCGGCATACCCGATTGGCGGCCCATAACTGTTACTTCAAGTGGGTACAACTGAACACTTGAGCTTCACATTGCATGTAAGGAGACATATGATGGACAGTGCCGGTCATAATTCAGCTAAATCTGTACAACAGCAAACAGTTGATACTAACCGCGTATGCAAAATGGTATCTACTTGCCCGCAGCAAACAAGTGCCCCAAATACACATCTATGGACAGCTTCATCCATACAACGACAGCTATAGCACTTCATTTCTTGCACCGTTTTAGGCTTGACGCTAAGAAATATCCGGGGTATAAGGCAGAGTTACGCTGACATAGGTGGGAACAGCCTAGCAGTCGAACCCGATGCTGTTCTCAGACATCGATTTGCTTTTCACGAGAGACTTACCTGAAACCTAGCTGAATGTCTCGTTTATGATGTTGCCCTTCAACTAAATGTATTGCACCAGGCCATCTCATATTGCAGCAGGTACGATAGTCGAAACCCTTTGAGTATTGCGTTACGCCTATCCAAAGCTGTCCACTTCGGGATGCACGGCGTCTTGTAGTTGGTCGTGATTCGGCTTAATTCCGTCCACAGGATGATGGTGATAATAATAATTTCGTAGTCATTTCGGAGCACTATCGCAGTTTAGGTATCACATTGCCCCAGAAAGCTAAAGCGGACTTCTTTAACTTACTTTATCCGTCAACGTTTGTGGAGGGATCTGTCTCCACTGATAAACAGCCTGACCGATGCAACCAGCATACGCACGACCATAGTGACTGCAGATCTAGTTTCCACGTCCAATAGGTCCATTTTGAAGGCATCAGCATGGGATTGACGATTGATGGAATGACAACGTGTAGTCCGTATCGTTTTCCTACTTGTCGTCTCGTTTTCTGCTTCCATTTTCCAGTTAGTGAGATTCACGTTGGTAATTTCAAGTTTGCAAAGAAAGTAGCTCGATATCGAAACTTGAGTAGGCTACGGTTCTGTTTCTCTTTTTTTGATATCTATAGCTGACCAAATAAAATCAACTTCAGAATTCTGTTACCGTCTATTCCGTAAATATGTCAGCCACTGTAGATCGTTGCTCCAATCCCACCTAAACGCGGTTGTCCGGAAAGAATGCGAATCCCTGCAGCGATTTCTACTAAGGTCTGTTCGCCACAGGGAAACGTCATACGATTATCGGAGTATTTGTGGCGGAAACACTAAAGAACTAGTGAAATTTTGACCTGCACTCTGATTCCGATGCTTATACCTTCCAACCGAAATTCTGTTTGTTTTGTGTTAACCTTCTAGTCAGAGTTGCGGACGTGACATATGCGAAATGAGTTTTGTATCATTCCTCACACGCCTAAAGCAAATATTCCCCAGAGCGTACCAGTTGTCCAGTTCTGGAGTACAAGCTCCAAGGTTTAGGCGACTACGAAACGACCGTCTTCATAAGCTTATATATTACACCTCATACCTTTGCTTTAGTAATGTCTGACTTATTTCTATTGGTCTTCGGGTACTTGACGGCGACCTAGACGGATGAGATCTTTCTATTTGGCTTCGTCGGGCTCAACTACATTGCTTGAAAACACTATCGACGCCAGTGCTCGCTGACGCGTCACCCTCAGTTCTGATCAACGTATTTTTCGGCGTTAGGGTTGTGTTACTCTGTAAGTCAGGAATTCAATGGCTTGCCACCAATGTGTATGGTCGTAGATAACATAATATCAAAAGATATAAGGTAACAATAGAGGGCAAATGAAGTCAGGCGGAGCTTGCCGTCTGAACTAATACCTACTCTGAATATCATTTCAAATAGGATATTGGATCGAACACAACGTACTGTGTTAAACCAAGACTGGCACAAATTAGCGAATCGTACCAGAGTAGGCTTCGTCGCATACGTAGTTAACTCCATCAATTGAGCCCCTGGTACAACGGTGAATGTTGTACGCCTGTTGTTCGCGGGCTGAAGTTATGATTTGGGTAGCTTGAAAGATACCAATTATCGCAACTTTCCTCTCACGCACAAGTGAACAGTGTCTGCTCAAGTGAAATAGAGACAACTGCACAAAACGTCCACAATACACAATTATAAATATCACTCCACTACTTCATTGAACAACGATGAAGTTGGTCTCACGAGTACTCTCTCACCCTCAGGGCCAGGACGTCACCTTTCACCTCACATCCGATCAATGGCAAAATAATCTACTCAGTAGCCTCCTCATCCTCTCTTAGAGGATATCCTCTATATCGTGGAATATCTGGGTGTAACGCTATTGCGTGGCCTTAGGTATCACCCCCTGTATCCAAGATTCCGACATCTAGCTTTTCATGTTGAGATTAAGAAGGGTTTCTATTCCTCCGAAGCTGCCAAGGCTTTATTCTCATATCGTCATCCAGTAGATCTATAGTTTCGCTGTCCTCTTACCGGGACTGCTTCCGAGAGATTATCGTTTCCCTGTCAGATCGCCAAAAGTGGTTCTTATGAACAATGGGGTCTCAAGGTATGTCTTGGTTGACCGCGTAGTAAGCAAATATTCTGATGCTGCTCCAACTCCACCTGACGGATTCCTTCCGGGCTTGCATATTGTTCACCAAAGTCACACTCGCCACTGTGAAGCGCTAGTTGAGTGGCATTCCGGGTGATTGTCTTAAGCGCACATCGAATTAGTCTACCGTTTGCATGAGATACTGTTCCGAATTCGAAAACTCACAGGATGCATAAAGCTTTACTTCACATGACTTGACTTGAAGAACGCCAGTTTCGCGTTTTCAAATTGAAGCTCATACGGGAAAACCTATCAAGCTAGTTGTTGTTGAAGAAAGTCTGAATGGTATAATAATATATGAAAAATAATCGTTCAGCTGTAGCACCCTTTCGGTGCCTAGCTGCCATGCCACCTGCAGGAAGCACGAGGGCTGGGATACTGCCGGGTTGCACAAGCCTAGACAGGGGAAATCGAGAGGCAGAGGTCGGGTTCGAACCACGGACCTTCCGGCCAGTAAATTAAAGTCGCACTCACTTGGGCTATCTTAACATATTACAATTCATTCCGATCCAGCTGTATAGAAAAGTAGGGATTGGAAACATCGTGACAGTAAATCCACCCTGAATGAAATTGGAGTGAGCGGAGTTGGGTAAATGTATTCAGCCGCGGACTACTATGAAGTAAACTAAAATAGAAAAACATGCGCCAAAGAACAACGTTCTTCTAATAAGCTTATCAACATAAAGAATCCATACATGTAACGACGGAAACATTGAAAAGAAATGTTTAAATGACGCACAGAAGTTTGATAAAACGAAGATCCATTCCTGGTTGTTTATGCCAAAGTGACAACTGACTCGGTATCCATATTCACGCAAAACGGGCATTGGCATTTTTAACAAGATACTTCGTCAAGGATGACCTAGGGGACGGTCTTAGAATACCCTTAGTTTTCAGTAGAGGTTTTCAAAAGCCCTCTCCACTTCCAGTAGTGGTCCGTAATTAGAGCAGAATTGAACATAACAAGGACTTAATAATCGACCAGTTAATGAATCAATTTGAATAAAATATCATGAACAGGATATTTTAGACGCCAGTGACTGAACTGCTGACTACTAATCTCATGTCATTTGGAATGCATAACTGCGGTTTAAGTGCATATCCTCGAGAGCAGAAACGTGACAAACAGTCCAGCTAAAGGTATTAACCTGAAAATCTAATCGTCCTTGAGATTCTGAATTACAGAACACACACACAAATTATCACCACGATTTTTTAAACCAGAAAATGATTTTGGACTAACAGAAGAGCGTTCATCTCAATCAGTCCCTAATCGATTCGTCCACGCAACGGCAGCGTTATTTCATTAGGAAAAAACGCAACCTAACAGACCACAACCAGTACAAAATATGTCGTTTTCTTGTGTGACTAGTCCCGGCGAATGTCGGCCTACATTACATAAACAATCTTGTATTTCTGATCTAGAGAGCGGACAGAAATGTCTTTTCACATCACCAGCCACACTAGTACCGTGAAATTGAAGATCATCATCAACTTTGGCAGGGGACAAGGCGTTTCGCAGGCGCTCTACTGGCTGAAAATTCAACACCGTCATTAGATCATTCGGAACTTGGAGTAGACGTTTTGCATGGGTAGTTTCTTAAGATTTGTAGTGCAATGGTTAAACAGCATGTGATCCACGTACTATTCAATTGAAAAAGAGCCGCTTTAATGGAACGCATGTTGTAAAAACAAGGTGACTGTTATTCTTGAAGAACACCAATCACACTAAAACTACATCAGCTATGTGACACACACAATAGTTGCATAGCACAGCAGTTCTCCATTCACGTCGTACACGTGACAATACCTGGCAATGTTAAAAAGTTGAGCAGAATTAGGAGGGACCCCAACTCCACAAACTGTCTAATCCGGATAGGAACTTCACTCACACACTGTCCTCTCAAAAGTACCCTTCAACAATAACGTCCTGGTCGTCGATTCCTCATAACTTCAACATATTATCATATCGATAGTAAGGCGAAATACTTGACGAAGCTGTATTCGTCCTCTGCCGTTGTCGTCTAATTTGAAACCATTAAGGCGGTCAACTGAGCACTCTGTGACATTTGCATATAATCCACAGTCCTTGAATTGGTTCGTATGGTGTGCTTAGACTATACTTTACGTTTTCGTACCCAAAACTATATGTTCAAATGAAAAAATGTAGTTCGTTGCATGCACCGAACAAGGTACTGCGGATCAGTGTAAAATACAAACAAGGTTGGATAAATGGGAACCGGCTGCAATGAGAGTTTCTGTAAAACTCTAGGGATTTTGAGGAACGGAACGGATTCAAGCGATCGGCGGTCGTAGCCAGCAGTTCATATCCCAACCTTTTCGCTTCTTCAGATTCCCATGCACCCCATTAGCAAAAGCAACAGACAACACACTTCATAAGTTTGATTATCTCAAGGCTTGCTGCAAACTGAATGCTAACAAAAACGCATGATTGAAAATAGGCTACACAAAAACGGGAGCATGGACCAAGACTTACTTGCAAGTCGCCTCGTCGTAGGAGCAGATCTAAACCACGTGAATGCTCCGAGATCGAGGCATAAATGTGCTTGGGTAATGGTAACCACTGCATGCTGTCCGGCGTGGTACAGTTGGGAATGACCGAAAATGGGTTTGACCAAAATGGCGTATCGGAATCAGAATATCCTCCAAAAAGTGGATCCAGGTTACTCGGCCTATTGTAGAGATCATCTGTTTCAGAGTCAGGATCATGCTCATCATCATTTCTCCCACACTTTATTGCTTGCACTTGGGCGAACCGAGTGAATTCACTGACCAGTGAATCGTGCATTGAGGGGCTGTTCTTCACTGGATCAAAGTGTATCAAATGACGAATAAATGCAGCACTGAGACGGTTGTCTACTTCCAACGCGTACGCCGAGTTGAAATGCTTGGTGATTGAATAGAAAAGCAATAAAATCAATACTCAATACCCAATGAGAAAGATCCAACTGCCGCCAGCATCAACACAAACAAGAACTTAGAGAATTATAAACGCAAACAACGTTTGAAAAAGTCGTTCACACAAGCTTGAACAAAATCCGACAGAAGCTTGAAAAAAAGTTGGTTCTGTGGTTCAGAGGTAAGCAGGAATCGGTCTCTCCAGGGAGCCCTCGGTTTCCAAATTCCTCTTCATTTAATAATTATGTCCGTACCTTTATCCATACACTCGAGCGACTGTGAACGGACTGAGCGGAAGAGAACGAAAATGAATCTGAATAAGGTCATCTTATTTCTCCGAACATGAAGGTGCAATGAATTTGGCATTTCAGGTCGACTCACATACGCGGATAAAACTGAATAAAATATAAAAAGGCTAAGCATAACTACAAAACAGCCTGAAATAAAGAACAGTAGTGCCCCGTCCAGTGGTGGAAGAAAAACATCAATCACGTACAGAGAGAGCCACATCCAATAACCAGTCAACGGGATCCTGTGTTTTGGGACTTCCTTTGGATGTAACCGACTGACTGAAAGAGTCCCTTCCCGGTGGCCAGTCGCCGACTGAATTTGGAGGCGTTGCCATCATACCCAAATCAGGCGACATGCGGGTGGTCACGAGATTTGGTGGATCGGGATAAAGAAAGTTGAACGAAGTGTGTCGTGACAGTACATGGCCGAAAATTCGATGACCAACAGGACCAGTGTTGGGACTAAGGAGACGATACCCGAATGGTGTGATTTGCGTGACTGAATTGGAATTTTGACATGCGTCGGTTGTGAGGGAAAGAACATGACGAGTTACCGCCTGGATGTTAACCGCTCCATGCACAGTTCCTAAACGGAAAAAAAGAAGAAAAGCACGTGAGCGTAATGATAGTAGTTGGTGGGCATCTAAATACGACTTTAAAATGTGTCAAAGTATACGATTACCATACCATGCAAAAGTTATAGATATAAATAAGGGGTCCGTTCAGATTGGCCCAGTAGCGGCCGGATGTAAGAGTAGAATTTCACCGATAGTACAGAATCTAAATCCACTCCAGATTTGTACAAGCTACGGTCTATACAGGTGAAAGAAACCGATCCATCCATAGAAAAAACTGCTTAAAACGAGTACTGGAAACTGAGTACAAAGAATAAGACTGTGACCTAATAACTAGATAGATAGTACAGAGGAAGAAAATTTGCATGCCATCAAGCGATACTACCACTGTCAACCGAAAAAAGCTCGTCAAGGTATATACTCACTTCCAACAAATAAAAGGCCCGACGGGAAATATGCCGTGAGACATCAAGACACAGCTTAACTGTCAGGTCAAGGCACCACGTAGCCAGAAAGGGAAGCCTCAAACGAAATAACAAACGAATCAGTTGTACGGAGTAGAGACGCAAGCGCTGGAAGATGGATGAGAGGGCATTTTAATGAAAATACAGAGATAAAGGAGACAAATAACTACATCCTGCATTCGCGTGCGACTGTAAAAAGCAACTTATGGGTTCATCTATGGGAACAGGGCTATGCACAACCAACCCACAGTGCGAATACCGAATAAAATGCAATGCAACTAATCAAAAGCTTGTTGAAAAGGCCTGAATGGAAGATAAATATGGTAAGGTTCCTTTACTTTACCTTGCTTCCACCATTTACCGCAGCCGTTAACAGGTGTTGACCAAGATGACTAGGACAGGTGAAGTCCAAGCAGGAAATCAGTAGCTTCATCAAATTAGTGTGGCGGTCTTCCTCAAAAACGGATTCAGGATCGGCAACAATAGATGGAGTGGAACTCATGTGTAGACCAGATGGTAAGCACTGCGGTCGCCGCGACAACAGCAACGAGTGGAAAACGGAACACAGACCAGTGGTTTCCAGACGCGACTCACCCTCATCGGAACAAGTAAGTCGGCCGATACTGAGAATTAAAAAGCCTGAACAACGGTCACGCAGCTGAGCTGGATGGAACAATTTGCATACTTCATGAGAAACGTCATTTGATTCAGATTCCCCCGCCCCAAGATCGGAAGAAAGGNTGTACCCGATCGCATAAAAGTCTGAGTGCATCACCAAAAAACCGCAAAAACCTAGTGAGAAGCCGCCCTGGTTCACTAGTCTATAAAGGAATGGGGAGAGGACGAGAACAAGTTAGTTCTGCACTTTACCTGTTAAGCTGGTTTTAGAGACAAAAGAAGTGAGTCGCCGTGAAGTATTTAAGTGGAAATATTAGTCAATCTAACTTGAAACTACTATAATCCCCCTATGCGTTTACTTTTGATCTCCAGTTGTTTGCTCATCCGTACCCACCATTAACCCTGCCGCAAAGGCCGCCCCATCCTGATTACCGTGTGGTCGCACTACCAAGCAGAATCACAGGACTGGTCTCCGACAGGACTACCGCAACCGATACTACTGAGCCAACATTCCGCTCGGACCCGGACACAGTACTGTGGCGGTCGGTGACAGACGTGCACAATTGTCGACACCACGAAAGTGAATAAATGAGGCTTGTTGTATAAATTTGCTCATTTTTGTGTAAAGCACTGTAGACTTTCGAACCGAATTCTTCCTTTTGATATTCGGGTTCGGCAAACCTATGCGTGACTCAAAGTTCCGTATCGTGAACCTCAATATACATAGAAACACGTACCGATGGGTACAGAGCCAAATGAGGCACGAGCCCAGCGGCAAGGATCGCAGCGGCGGACGCGTGTGTCCAGGTGTTAGGAAGCCAGGCAAAATTCATTGTAGACTCGGTGGATACCGACGGTGAATCATGTCGTTGCCGAGAGGCAAGAAACACATTAGTCATGGTACTGATGGACTTGGGACTTCGTATGGAGCTGTCTGAATCTTTGTGGCCTTTAGCAACTAATCGGAGAGGAGGAAGTTCTTCCAGGTTGCGAGGGAAGGGTGTGTTAGAAATAGAAGCCGAACGACAATTGTGCGCGTCCCGTAGTGCTCCAGGAATGCCCACTGACGGGTCGGGGCCGGGTGTAATGAAGTCCATCAAGCGACGAAGGAAACTGGACTTCGGGTAACGAAAAAAGGAAATATCGACACTTACTGGAATGCGGTGGACACACCGGTCAACAAACGATAGATCAAAGTACTTGGAGGAGGACACGAAAACGCTACGACGACAGTAGATGTAAAGTTTACTGCGTATTTATAGGAAAACAAGCTCTCATCATCTAAAAGTTCAGATGTATTTTCAAGTTTGATTCCAATGACAAAAGCTAATCTTAGAAATTTATCGACAGAATGAAGGGTTCACTAAAATGAACCCTAAGCTTAGCCTTAGCTTCAGTAAGGTGGATAAGAGGATGGACTAGAACCACACCTGGTCCCCCATACATATAGGAAATCAAAATGATACACAAAACTGTCCCACGGTTGGGCTACACCGTGATGAGGGAACCCTAGATGTGCGACATGATACTTAAATGTGCCCGTTTGATAGGCGTTCTCAAGCTCGTAGTGTCACTGTCAGACATCTTGAGTACCCGCTGATCAGCTGTGGACGCATTCCATCATGATCATCACTGTCAGCTGTAATAACCACGTACTCGTCGTACAGTGGTTGCAGCTGCCGCAGTTTCGTTCAACGATGATTTGGAAGGCGCATTCCATAGGATTTAATTGCTCCTGAAACCTCCATCAATCAGTACAAGTTGCGATTCCAAGCTTCCATGACCTAATTTCGAAAGCAATTAGTCATGTCAGCGATGAGTAGTACAAAGATCACCCTTACGCACAAACAAGCAAGCTTTCGATGCCAACCAGCATTTGCCTCTTTGTGTATGTACACACGTGACGTATACGTACGGACACATGCAAGTGGTCTTACCCAAAGTAACCCAAATGCAAAGCGCCATATAATAAATAAATGCTTAGGCTTTAAAGAAATCAAGTAGAGTACTGAGGTGTAGATACCTACATTCCATGAAGACAAATGAAACGTGAAGTAGAGGAAAACGACCGTGTGACGCATTATCGTAATCTGCTCTTTGTGCACGTAACTAACCAAATCCTACCTGAAAGTTAGTGTTCGTTTCATCAGATCAACTCAGCCGATAACTCAACATTAATGGCTACACGGGAAAAATGTCAACTACTGAGACTGATGATGGAAAAGTTGAAAAAATTTAAAATTTAAAATTTAAAATTTCGCAAAGGATGTCTCCGCTGTAAGGCGCATCGGCACTATACAAGCCATGAAGGATGACCTAGCTGCACAGCCAATAAGGAACGGGATAGTATGACGGTAAACGTTTCGAGATGGATAGTGCTGTCTGTAAGAAATTTCCGACCAAGCGACCTTGGCTAATGCTGACTGCTAGTTAGCAATGTTGTGGAATGTAGGTGGCTCGGGTGCGCTGTTTGGTTGTTGGTCCGTTCGCCGAGCTTGGCAGTTGGATTGCAAACGTTTCATCACCAATCGAGGTGACATCGTCAAGAAGGAAACAACCGAATCACAGCATGACAACCACATACAGAACTGCTGAATTGAATGCACCCAACGAACCAACCAGACACAGGAGTTTGAAACCACGTGAGATTCACAGAAGACCAATCTAACTACACGACGACCATCTACAGAACTACCAAATACTGTTGAATTGTATGCACCCAACGAACCAACCAGACACAGGAGGTTGAGACCACGTGATATTCACAGAAGATCAATCAAACTACATGACGACCGTCTCCAGAACTACCAAATACTGTTTAGAAGCTATATAATCACAGGCAGAAGAGGAGGAATTCACCCACTCAACCCTGCACTGACGATGTCACCTCGATTGGTGATGAAACGTTTGCAATACAACTGCCAAGCTCGGCGAACAGACCAACAACCAAGCTGACTGCTAGTCTTTTTCTGTGCAGTAAGTCAGCCTAAAAGTAGTGGATGCAATTCAACATTCGGCGATCAATGGAACAATTAGCTGCACAAACACTGAGAATTCCGGAACAGTGAAACGCAAAAGCCAAGTACAGCAATACTCACGACTGGCGCAATCTGTCGTCCCAGGCTATAGTAGAATTCATATCATACAAATATCGTCCAAATGAAGTCAGAAGCTCCCAATCCCACTGATCTGGATCTTTGAGCATTTCCGGTGGTTGAACTAAAGGGATCGACCTGCTGGAAGAGGATGATGTTGGTTTGATCGAAAGTACTGGCACGACACCGGACTGGGAAATAATTTGATCAATCCAGGATTCAGATGACTGAAAAATGGAGCAAAAGCTAAGATATATCAGCCATATCCCGGGTGAGTAAACAGGGAAGAACAACGTAACTGCGGTATATCAAAATACTCATGGCTACTTTACAGAGGACAAGTTGCTTTTTGACTGCTATGTGAAAGGTGAAAATATGACGGAAGACGATTTTCGTCGACTGTACCATAACGGAAGGAATATATACATGCAGATACAAGATCAAATGAACTAAGGCTAATTCAGAAATATTTCGTGAGAGCAGGCTCGGGAAAAGTAACCTCCTGACTTCCAACAAATAACACTATTTCCTTAGAGTCCACTCCGCTCTAAACAACATCCAGAATGTACACCAAGGGTAGGTGTGTATCGAGTATATCGCTAATCGGGAAACGGAAAATTTTTTCCAGAATAGCTATGGGTGACAAACTTATTATCGTAGATATACTACACTGTCAATATCAGGAAATAAGCGGAAAAACAAGAAGAATTGGATCACCAAAAGTAATGCTTTCCAAGAGGAGCGATGAGAAATACGAAGCGCCCGGGCGATCGCGCACCACGCATATGGAAATTCTGGTGACTTTTATCGTTACGCTGCGGTTAATGATCCGGATTAGACCACTGACCAGTTTTCGATCATTTTGGCTTCCATGAATACCGATGTGGACAACGCGAAACACAGTTTCTGTGTATGTAGTAAATTCAAATAAGGTCGACGAAATTAAGAACAAAAGATTGGTTTTTTGGGTGCCGAACTTTTTACAGACTCTCCAATAAAGCTACAGTCAAAAGTACATTTAACTTGAAGTTTTGCGATGTAACATGCTAAGCAACTCTAGAACATCAGGGGGTGTAAGGTAGACAGAAGAGATACCATGGATCTACGAAATATAAATATCCCGTCGGGGCATCCCTCAACTGTAATTAACTTGTCTATCCTACACATCGTCGCTTTCAGTATCATGACAGTGAATATCTAGTTCAGATAATTAAATAACGAACTTTAATATTTTTGTCACCGTGGGGACTACGCCTTTCTATCTGATCTTGAGTAGCTGGTGGCAGCACTCAATAACGAATCTTAGTAGAACGAAGAATTAGGTGAGACTATGCGGACAAATTAGAGCAGACTGAATTCGCTGCTGGTAAGTGTGCGCAAACGCTTCATGTATACACATCGATTGGTTCTGGTCAGTTGCCGGCACACGTACGCCCGAATCGGTTTATCCACGATATATATATATATATATATATATATATATATATATATAA